ATCCACCTGTGACCTTTTGTTTTGCTGAGTTAAATAAACTGTATTCATTTTAGCTGTGCTTGGTACTTCTAGATTTTCCCAGCAATCCTTATTTACATCCATTTGTTGAACTCTCTATTTATTTATTTTTTTCCTAAGTGCAGATATGTGCTATTCTTGGTGAGATTTCGTCAGTGTTGTACAAAACCCTGAATATTTCATGTCTTGTCAGGCAAGGCATTCCCAGCCATGTTTTAGGAGGAACAGAAAGGGGGCTCATATAATGGTCATCTACAAGTGATGGGGTCAAAACAGTATTCCTGGGGGAACTAGGGAGAGGTCCTGGATTTCAAGTAATAATTCTTTATCCTAATTCAACAGTTTAACTGTCAGAAAGTCTGTACTTGTGGATTTCTGAAATATAGTTGTCCAAGTTAAGAAAATAAAAGGAAAAAAATCCTTTCATTTTGAATGACAGTACCTGGATTATTTGATGTTTAGCAAGTAATTTACTGCCAGTGATGAAGCTGGAGTTGATGTTAATGGTAACTTTGCCTTTCTTTGCACAGTCTGAGTATAGTAAATTGCTCTTGGTGGAGGTTCTGCACTAGCTCGTATGGGAGAATTGGAAGCAAGGTTAAAGGCAAAGCATACTACCAGCAGATAAGAAAAATAAGTTTATTTGACATTGACTCAAGGAGGATGGGGTTACAAAAGTGATAGGGTAAGAGTGGTTTTTAGCAGCTCAAAAACTATAAGCGCAGCTTAGCACCTTTTCAGAAATTTGTAAGCAACAATGTGTGAGTGGCACTTACTGACATTTTCCAGGTAACTTCAGCAGGTTGTAAAGTTTTGTTGTTGTTGTTTTTGTTTTTACTTTGGCCATTTTTCCTGTTTTAATCAGGCTACTTGAAGTCTCGTTTTAAATTACAGGATATTGCTAAATGCTCTTAAACAATAGCTTATGTTCTGTAGCGTTGTTGACTTTTTTCTATTACTGAATAAAATCGTGTTTGTCTCTCCTCATGAGCTTTTACGTTCACATTTCATCTCTGAAAAAGGAAAAAGTTGTGTAAATGTCGTAGCAATTAGAGCTTCATTACATATTAGAACATAAGTGCTGGAACAAGGCATTGATTTAATTATGAAATAGATCTTTGCTGGAAAATCCTGGCCCCAGGCACAAAAAGAAGGCGCCTCTCAGTCCTCAGAGCTCTCAGGTGAGTCAAGTGCCATATGACCCAAGGCATTCACATATATATAGCCAGGTCGAGTGACGAATGCTGTTAGTCTGCTGGTGTGAGAGGACATGTTCTTGGCTCCAGGATTAAACATACCTCCTCTAGTCTTTACATACTCTTTTTGAGAACGGACATAGTGGTTTTTTTTTTTTTTTTACTTCAGCTGCAATTTTTCACCCTCTTTTGCACTTTGAAGAGGAAGAAATACAAGCCTGCTTGCAGATGGACAGTTTTGTAACGGTCGCAGCCTCTGAAAGGCTGCCTGAGAACACAGTGTGTGTGGATAGAGGTAAGAAAACTGGAATATGGTTTAGGAAGGTGTTTGTGTGGCTCAGTTGTGAGGCCGTATCAGTAATATTTAAAAGCCTTAATGGTAGAGATGAAGCTTGAAAGGAAGTGTGGTCTTGATGGGAAGCTGCTTGTGTATTTGTTTGTGGAACTGTGAGCGTTTGAAAACAGGCTTCAGGCTGAGATTTACCAAAAGTTGAGTCACTTGTTTGTTTAAAATTCTCTATCCCTCCATAGTACAGCTGTTCTTGCAGGTTGATATTGTTGCTAGCAAGGTCTAGGAGTTGTTTTTGAGATGGCATTACATTTTGCTGGTTCTGTCCCAGCAGTGAGTACTGGAAAGCCTGCATTTGGTTCCAGTTTTCCCTCGTGCTCTTGTGCAAGACGTATGATCTTTCTGTTTCTCCATTTCATTATTATTTATAAATCCTTGGCATCATAACCTGTTGTAAGCAAGGTACTGACTGGGGGCATTCAAAAACTGGTGCAAGTTCCAAAGTTGCACTGGACAAGCCAAAAAAAGGATGTTGGCTACTTTATATGGGTTGGGATCTAGCAGTATCACAACTGCTTTACTGAATCTGATGCCCTGTTTGGATGGGGGACTGCTGGTGGGTTTTTATGGATTTGGTGGGGGCTCTTTCAGAAAAATTCTTTCACTTTTGCAATATGTTTAGGATAGGAGGAACTTGAGGGTTCAACACAAGATTTTTGCTTTGTCTCAGTGTCTGATTGCTATCGTATCGTGGCTAGGAGTACTTCTGAGGGAGAAGCTGAACGTGGTGTATCAGTGTATATGGTGTTTTAAAAACATTGCTGAATAGCTGTCAATCTCTAACTTCCGGATATTTAATATTGGTGAGGGGGGTGATATTACTGGATTATGAAAATATCTCACAGAACTGAAAAGCTCACAATTAACCTGAAGTCACAGCTTTAAGTAGTTAAACCTAATGTAAAATTACAATTTGTAACTCAAAGAATCACAGAATGGTTGAGGTTGGAAGGGAGCTCTAGAGATCATCTAGTCCAACCCCACTGCTCAACCAGGGGAAAAAACTCGTTGTTCATAAAACTTTATTTATATTCTATTTTTTAATAAAATTTTATTTGATTTTATTTTTAATTGTCACTGCCCTCAATTGTAATAATACTCTAATTTGTGTTGTTGCTTAAACCGGTGCAATTGTTGGTGATAGTAACAGAAAGTACGCTATTATGCACACATAACTGTATATCCATATTAGAAGCTTTTCCCACCTAAAATATCCTGGAAAAGCTCCTTTTCTGCTTATTGCAGTTCTGGAATCCTACTGCTAATATTTCTTTCTTTACAGTCACACTTGACTATTAAAAAGTTTTTTTTTTCTTATTTTATGTGATTTTTTTTTTCTTTTCATATAACCTTTAAACAAATGTCGCCATTGTCGGTACTCAAAAAGCCCTAAGTGGGGGAAAAAAATGTGTTGTCTTTCCTTCAGCAAATTTGTCTGGTCTAATTTGTCTGGTCGTATTAGAGGAAATCACCTTTCTTTTTTAGAAGGAGGAATTTTACTTTTACCTCTTTCTCCAAACTATGCAGTGAATAATTGATAAAGCTGTTAAATTTATTTGCTAGAGCTTGTCTTGCCATTGTTTTGTTGACTATAACTACTGTTTTAGGTTGGATTTCTCTAGTTTTTCTCCCAGCTTTGGTGGCCCAATGGATAGTGAGAAGTCTCTTTACAGAATATGACCCAACATGAGTAGTTCTTATTTCAATAATGATGAAGTTTTAAATGTCTGTGATTAAAACAAGTCTTTGGAACTGGACTCAGTGTTGGTGCTAAGGGGCACATGGGAATGTGCAAACTTCAGTGCTCAGCAATGATGCAGCAGTCAGAGCACTAGGAGATCTTCAGGGTGTGAGTTAAGTTGTTTGCAAAACTGCTACTTGAAAAAGCACCATTAGCTCTTTATTTTTTTCTTTTTCTTCTTTTTTAACTGGGACTTAGAATTCCTAGATATCTCATTAAGGGGAGCAGATCATACCGAAGCCGAAGGTGTAAGTGGTGTCAGTATAAAATATCTGTATTAATTGGTCTGGGGTTTTGTGCTGGGAATCATTTATTATGCCATATAAGTAGCAGAACACCTCGAGACAGTGTTATAGCACTGAGCCATAAATCATACTGTGATACATCAGAGGCGTTCAGGAGATAATGGGTAATAGAATTACTGTTACTTAATGGCTGTTCACAAGGAAGTTGTGGAATGTAATTGCTCGTTAATGTTCACGCTGAAGACTCTAGGATTATGAAGGAAACGTTGGCCTTGAGTCCAAGAACCCTCCTGGGGAGTGTGGGAAGGGATGCAGACCTAGATACGTTTCATTAAAGTTACGGTTCCCAAATTGGGGTTGTTTTGATGTAAGCAAGGCAGGCCTGGGGCGTGTGACATGGCTCTGGTTCCTTGCTGGGATTCCAGGTGGCAGTGAGTAAGTCTGATGGGATTCACCTTGTGTCAGCAAATGCCATCAGAGGCTCCCAGCAAAGCATGTGCTGTCAGGGAGGTGCAGTGAAATCACCACTGCCCTCTGTGCTATTTTTCTTCATGCTGAGCTGAAGAGTGTCAGTCTGTTGCATCTGTAAAACCAATATGATCATTGAAACCAAAAGCTTGAGATTTATAAGTTATTTTTCAGTGAAATCACCACTGCCCTCTGTGCTATGTTTCTTCATGCTGAGCTGAGGAGTGTCAGTTCTGTTGCATCTGTAAAACCAATACGATCATTGAAACCAGAAGCTTGAGATTCATAAGTTATTTTTCTTTCTTTTTTTTTTTTTTTTCTGAGATCAAGAGTGAGGATTTGAGATAGTTGTGGTTTCTGAAGACTATTACTCCATTTATAAATGAGTTGCTAAGTGTGTGTTCTGGTCAGTGGGGGCTTTGGTTTCACTTATGCTGTTGAATATGTTGGCCAAACATTTTGGGTGGTATTTGTAACGTGTCTGAGTGCTGGTATCTGCTTTTCTGTAGCTTCCCTTCCACCTACATATATAAACATATGAGTATTAGCATTAGATTAATCTAATTATAAAGAGCCTCCCCTGTCCCAAAACATTCATGGCACAACAGATATTAAATGTCCACTGTTAATCCAACAGTAATTTGTAAATGTGTCTTTTTAAATCATGTGCTGAAATGTGAGATGATTGCAAGGGAAACAGTGCTGTTATGGAGACAGCAATATCACTAACAGCCCTGTTTTGAAAGGGCAAGACTTTCCAAAGTAAATATTCACCTGGCTGAGGATATTTGCAAAATTTCATAATTCACCTCCAGCTGTTGCCATATCTGTCTTGCATGCCCACCTGAAAGGATACTGGGAGAACACAGGAAGCCCGCTTTGGACTTGAGTAGTTATTTATTAGGAGCGTGTTTATAACTTCAGCTTTCATATATTGATAAGAATCACTTCTGACATATTTTTCTGTCTCTTATTCTAGTTTCTCCCTCTGGCTTTGAGAGTGTTGCGCTTGCAGAAGGGGATCTGAACGGCGAGCTGATGAACGAAGAGATCCGTATCCATAGCTGGCCTTGTTCGTACTACTTGGACACCAGCAAGCAATGGGTCTCTGGCAGGCTCTCCCTGACTCCTGTTGCTATCAAATTTGCAGCTGACAAAACTGGTGAACTTTTGGTCAACTTCCATCTTTCTGGAATCAGCGAGATCAAGAAAGAATCTTCAAATTTAATCTTTAGCTCCCTCACCATCTTGGAGAAGAATACCAAGCACTGGTTCAGTTCTCTGCAACCCAACAGAAATGTGGTGTTCAACATCCTTGAGCATTTCTGGAGGGAGCAGCTGCTGTCAAACCAAGGCCCGGGAGCAGAAGCTGGGGCTCTGCAGTCCACGAAAGGAAAGGAACTGACTGGCCTGTTGGCAGGTTCGCAGAAACGCCTGGAGGACACAGCAAAAGTGCTGCATTACCAGGGCGAGCAGTTTGATAACATCATGAGAGGACTGAACAAAATCGAAGGCGATATGGATGTCGCAGACAGGTACTGCAAAATCCTCTGAGCTGTGGGGTTGTCCTGTGTGTGTCTAGAAATTCAGGGGCAGATCCACAAAGCTCCATTGACTTTCAGTGAAAGCTCGAGCTCATGATGGTCTTTGGTAAATCTAGTTCTTCCTGTAAGATTTCATTTCTCTGTTTCTGTCCCTTGTTTTGCTTTTTTCTTCCTCAGGAACTTATACTTGTGTCTTTATGCCTGTCATCTGTCTTTCAAGTAACTTTGGAGACCCTTTGTGGATTTCAGCCACAATTAGCAGAATGGTAGAAATCTCCAAACTGTAAAATACCTGTAAGTTTTGAGAAAATGGGCAGATAGTTAGAGCAAAAAGCATTTCTTTCCTCTGTAAATGCTCCCATTTAAAGGCTTGAGATTTATAAGTTAAAGACAGCAGGAAACACTTTCTCCATGTGTAAAAATAACTCTTTAGGTTGCTCTTTGCCTGCAGAGTATATGTAGCTGAGGGCTCTATATTCCCCCTTTTCTTCAAAAGAACTGAACTGTCCAGCTGAGAGCAGCAGTGAGGACTGGGCCTGTGGTACAGATGTAGTCAGAGAAATGGTTGTAGAAACAGGGGGTCTCTTGTGTTTTTAAGTTGCACTGCTTCTAACCTTCTATGAAATAATCCCTACCTTTAGATCTCGATGGAATTCGTTCATTTTATATAGTGAAAAAAATGGAGTGTCTGGTGCATCTCTGAGCAAACTGCTGAGCTCTGTCTCTGGTCTGGTGATGCACAAACCAGACAGCCAGGATTGTGAATCTTTCCCACCCCAATTCTAGGCTATTTGTGGTAGTCTCAATTAGGCATTTAAGCCAAGTAATTCCAGAAAAAAAAATAAGCCACAGAATGCCACATTTAGGTAACTGGGATATGTGCACTTTTGAGATGTTGCTTGTCTTTAGTCGTTGGGGAAGTCGGTGTGAACAGTAAATGATTTGTGTCTCGATCAAAGCACTTAGACTTTGCTTTTCAGTGATTAACATTTAAAGTGAATTTTTCTATGCTACTCTGTGTGCTGCAAGTTGGCAGTCCAAAATAGACAGTAAGGTTAAGAGCAGCATTGTAATGTTTGAAGATATGTAGCTTTGAGCTTCTCTGTGGATGCTCAGATGGCTGCATACAGAAACATACACAATAAAGTTCAAACCAGTTTCTTTTGGAAGAAACATCTGTTTTCAGATGGGTATCATGTCTAAAGAAAGTGTTGATTTCCCAGTGATTCTGGCAATATTCTCTGTGCCCTTTAATGAAAAGCCAAGATAACTGAAGGCTTCAGCAATAGCTTTTAAAGCTCTGTAGCAATAAACAGTGAATAGGAAAATAAATACCTGCTCATTGTTTTTGGAAGACTGCTTTGTTTTGGGCTAGGATGCATTGGGAGGTATTATTTTGTCTTTGTGAATCTGGAGTGTTAGACGCTTTGATTTAAAGAGGGAAAAATAAAGGAAGACATTGACCAAGTGTTGCTGAGATTCTGTTTTATCTACAATATCTTACAATTTAGCCAGCTTTCTCACAGACTAAAAGAGAGTTCAAAAGCTATTAGTTGAACTGTTTATTTTGCACTGTGCCTTTTTGGGCGAGTTCTAACACTTATTTCTAATATCGTTCGTCTGTGTGTGTGTTTTCCCATGAAGCTGTATCACATTGGCCTCTTTATCATCCTCTTGGTGTTTAAAAGTTTGATCAACTTTCTGTTGCCTGTATGTGTGGGCTGTTTCGGCTTATTAATTCTATCAAATGTTCTGTGCACCAGTTTCTGCCCTCGTGCAGGCCTGGGTACATACAGCTGAGTACATCTTGCTAGCAGATGTTTGGAGACCAAAACTAAGCATAAAACCACATTCCCTGGTTCCCTTTTAATATGCTCGTGTTAGAGAGGGCAAGGCAGTTTGTTTGCTAATTTTCATTTTAAGGAGTGGTTGTAGTTTGTTGATGTACTCGTGCTGACCTCTCAGCAGAAGCCAAGGGAAGCTGGCTAGACCACTTGTTAGGTCTGCAGAACACAAAACCCTTCCTGCAAATCCTGGCGTTGTGTGACCAGAATGTCAGCCCCTTGGGAAAGAGGGGAGAGGATGGGCAAATGGACAAAGGGATTAACAGTAACCCAGAGCACATGCTTTTCCCATAGGAAATGTGAAGAAGCAAATCTGTTTTGCATGAGGGATTTAATAACTCTTTGTAAGTTGACATTGCCCCCCAAATCCTTGTGTGTACATATATATATTATTATTATTTATATACTAAAAAGAAGATGGAAAACATGCTTTGTGGCCTGTAGAAATGCAATCAGGAGGAACATTAGAGTATGACTTTTAATTTGGAAGAGAGTGTGCATTAACGGGGCCTTTTCCCCCCCTTTTTATCTTCTTTTTTCCAAGCTGAACTTCAGTTGAACCTTGTAGTTTCAGAATTCAGCCCTAAATCTGTGACACTGTGTCATTTCAACTTCTGTTATTGCAGGGATGTTACCTTTTTTTCACTATTTTTTTATTATTATTTAAGGAAAGCATTTTCAGAGGGCAGCCGAGAGCTCCAGACCCATTACTCATCTTACTCATCTCGCACGCTATCTACATAAATATCTGGTGTCCGAGCTGTAGTTGGGAGTAGACTCTTGGAACAATTCATTCTGCCTCCCTCTGTTATTCATGAATTCAGTGGTTTACTGAATATGAATTTTTTTTAAACAAGATGTCTTTTTTTGCTTTTCCTAGCAGATTAATTTCTTTAAGCAGGCCTATTTTGAAGCTGGTGCACATCTTCCAATAGCTAGTAGCCAAAGTGTGTTCAGCTAGAGCATTTTTTTTCAGATTAGACTGTGTTTGCGGCCAAATTAAACAGGATTTGAAAATTGCAGAGTCTTCTGTAGAACAGTTCTGATTTTCTCATGGAAAATAAATTATTTCAAAAAAAGGCATCTTGGGAACAGCACTGCTCTGGGGCATGGCTTATTGGACAGTACTTTTCTAGAGCAAACTTTTAATGCAAGTTAAATCAACCATGCTCCCCAAAATACCAAGAAAGCACTAATGATTTCAGTCTGATAAGGCTCTCATCTCTCAGATTTCTGTCGTTAATAGTCTTTTGGAGCATTACAAAATGACAGTGTCGCCTTAAACATATCTTTAAGTGTTATCTGGCTTTACTTGGGGTGTTCTCTGCAGCTGGCATGTTGGTGGAACATGCCTGGTCTCCAGATAGCCTTTAGACTATCTGTGATAAAGAGATGGTTCTTTCTTGGGCAGAAGACGTTTTTTTGGAGCTGTTCTTTTAGTTGGGCTTAAACAAAATCGCTTCCCTCCCACTGGTCACCTGAGAACCCATTTTGCAGCTCCA